GAAATCTATACACACAAAATGAAAGAGAGGAGATCTATTGATGAGATAATAGATAAACAAAGCATATGGTAGAGATTTTATGTAATGTTGCCTTTAGAGTTGGAGACTAGAAGAATAGAGGGCTAAGAGATGGCTTTAATGGTGGAATTAATAGAGAAAATTTTGAAACTTTAACAACTTTTAACCCTTCCTCAACCCAACAAGACTCTGAGATGAGAGATGAGAGACTATGAGGCTGAGAGAAGATTTTGACCCTCCCTTAGTGGCAACTCTGAGATTGAGAAAAAGTTTGAACTTCAATGGCAACAAATGGAACAAAGATGAGAAAACCAAGATTCTGAGGCTGAGACAAGCTTTGGCCCTCCCTTAACCCAACTAACCCTAACTCTTTATGATCCAATGGGTACCCTCGATCCAACTCCACTTTGACCCCTTTCCCTTGACCCTAGTGGGTCACTCGACCCATAATGACATGCATTTGGGAGGCAAAACTGACCACCAGTCAAAAACCACCAAGTGGCAATAGGTTGGGGGCAAACTTGTTAATTGACCAAGCTCACCTAGAGCATGTTGACATAGACAAGTTGACCTGACTTGGTCAAGCTAACTTGGTAGCAACTCATAACATGCACAAACAACACATGGCCAAGCCGATTAGAACATCAATTATGCCAGATCATTCCATGAAAGCCCATTGCCTACCACGTGCATGCTACGTGTACACAACGTGCACACAATGTATCAACCAAGGGCGTAACTAGTGGATTGAGCTCCAACTATGTGTGAGTGATATGCCAATTCTTGGATGAAGCCCCTCTCTTATAAATAGCTGAGCCCCTCATTCGTTTAGACACACAACATAACACTGCATTACGTTACTATGCACAAGACATGCTAGACATCTCGACACACATCTCACCACATCTAAGTAAGCTCTCCAGCTCATCTTTTCTTCCCTTGAAGTTACTGACTTGACTTAACTGACGGAACCCACGCTCAATTGGGGTATCACCCCAAGGCCTCTAATATCTCTTAATAGCCTACTCCAATAACTTTCCATCTCCACCTTTGTGTTTAATTCCAACGTCAATAGATAGGTTTTTAAGTGGATTGGTTGTGTGGGTCAAATGGGTTGGGCTCAACATTGCCATCCCTAAAATTAGCAATGGTGACCACTATGTCTTTAGACAACCAACTTTTTATTGATTTTTATCATTGTGAGGAAAGATTTATTAACTATATATCAAGTGAGTTTTTTTTTATACATATCTTTCTTTTGTTTTTGTACGTTCGTTCATACAAAGCAGACGCCACAAATTTTCTTTTCCTTATTTATTTAATTGTTTATCTATTTTGATTTCCATAAACATGATAGAGAGAATACAAACAAACAAACTTTTTCTGTTTTTAATTATATAAAATTGGGGTTTGTAATTGTAACTGATTTATTAGGGTTTAGTGTGCAATGAATTTAAATTGAAATCATACTTTGGCGATTCCCACAAACCACTGCACCTTTACGCAATGATCACAACTTCAAGGCACTTATAGACACTACCATCTGCTATGTACTACAAACAAGATGTGTACAATGGGCTACGAAGTCATTGTCATCATCTCATACTGATGCATCTTTTCTTGATTGGGTTTTAGCAGATGCAGCCACGGATGCCTTGGCGTTATTCTTCTTTCTGGTAACAATTTAATCAAGATTTATAGTACCAAACATTGATTGATTATTCGATTTCTCTATAGTCATACTGTAACCCCATTACACCAATAAACGATATAAATAATGCAACCATATACACTGAACCTATAAACCCAAAAGTTGCAATCTAACCTAAACTTTCCACCCAATGAGAACCCATATCACAATCCCTTAGAAAAATGAAGCGCACCCAGATGCAGAAACCACCCACATTATTTATTCATCAATTACCTTTTCTTTGATAGCAACCTTAATTTGTTTAATTTGTCCATGCATGCACGCTTAACTCCTCCACTTGTCTCTCCTCATTTTTTGCATTGCACCTATAAGAAGAAGAGGAATTCATACTTATTTCCGCATCTCTCTCTTGCCCTAAGAAGAAGAGGAATTCATACTTATTTCTGCATCTCTCTCTTGCCCTGATTGCAATGAAATCGAATTTAAGAGAAAGATAAATACTGTATTTGGTTCTGTGGGCGTTTATTGAAAAATACCTTTACATTAGTGTCATATAGGTATTGGCGTTTATTACAGATGAAGCAAAATAAAACAAAAATTGAAATGTTTTGATTTTTGTACATGGGGCATTTGGGGAAACGTCAAATTCTTGTTTTTCCCAACGCCCCAGCGTTTCTTAAAACCAAATACTGATGTGACACATTCTAATGGGCATTAATTTGAAGTGGAGAATAAAAAATATTTAAAGTAAAGCTCAACCAAACAACAAAAACAAAAAACGTACAGTACGGCCTATCTATAGATGCCCACGGAATCAAACACATAGAAAAAAAAAAACAGAATTGCACCGTAATAAAAATTATAAGCAACTTGTTTAGACTCAAAAAGGTGAGAGCAAAACATATATAGGAATAATCCTTGTTTCCATCATCATTCCATATGATGTGATTCAAATGGGTTGGAATTATTTAAGTATGCCCATCTATCCATTTTATGGACCCATTTGAATTAAACAACTGAATTAACAAGGGGAATATATGATATGAGCTTGGGATCTACTCAACACCCACAAATACAATTCCTCCTTTTTTACTTGATGATAAGCCATAAACACCCACTTTGCAATTGGTCTATATAAGAATCTCTCACGCCAACTTAGTTCCCACCCATGTAGGGGGCCTCTCTTTAGTGGGCATTCTGTTATACTAAGTGTAGCTTTCTGCTTCTGTTGCACCTTCTCTCCCTTCATAAATAAAGGCAATTGGGTAAGCTTATTTAAAGCTGGAGAGGGCAATTAGTCCATGTAAAGAATGCAAGTGCATATAATATTACCTTTCAAGTGATGATTTCTTGTTCCTTCTTTGCACTGATCCATGACTAAAAATTGCTGAAAAAGAGACACCCATTACCGTTATTATTCAATAACTCTGCATGTCTGTGAGATCTCAAATCAAAGATAATGATGGGTCGACATAAGAGATCTCAGATCAGAAACACTACCAGCAGTGGAGCAGCTTCTCTGTGTCCTTTGCTGCCTGACCTTATCTTTGTTAGGTGATCGGGTTTAATTAAAACTCAATCGTTCCAATTATCTATCTCGAATGGATCGAACCCTCTGCTCTTTTGTAATCTACCTATAAATAGTTAAAAAGGGAAAGCAACGAGCTTGACCAATAAAGCTTATAAGCTGCTCATAAATCTTTCTGCACCGACTTGCCCGCTTTCCCATAGAGACGGTACTGAGAGAGACTACACCCACTGAAACTCTGAAAGATCGATGTAGGCCTGCAGCTTCTTCCAAGATATTGGAGAGGTGAGGCTTCCATCAATCTTCACCTCTGAGCCTGAGGTCGACATTTCTGGGCACGTGGAGCTTTCATGAGATAGATCTGTGTTTAGGATACCGTACTGCAGAGACGTCAAAAGAAGTGCAACTTCGCTTCGCTTCGTCTTCTTGCATTTGAATTCGTGCCTTTGGTTGGTGACAGCTCGAGAGTCGAGATCCAGTTACATCTAGCCCGGCGATTTCCTCCCACAGGTTCATCTGCAAATCTTTACATTCTTTTCTGTGAAACCACGTAATATCCTACACGTCTCCTCTGTCATTTCCTTTCTCGTTGTTTTTTCTTAATTCCTTCCCGTTCTTCTGGGGGTCGAGAGCTGAATCATGTCGGTGTTTTTCTAATACTTTTATACTCGTTAATTAAACCATGAACTGGATCGAGCTGGAGACTTTTAACAACCAATTACTTTAATAACGGAAAGGTAGTTATTTCCGGTGTCCCTAATGCTATTATCAGGGTAGGAGAAATTAGCTAGGACACGAGGAGTAGCACCGGGCTAAAACCGTAAAATCAGTATTTGATGCATTCTTCATCTTAAGTGTTCGGATCTGCTCCTCACATTCACCTCACAGCATATTTTGATTGCACACTAGGAGGAACATTTTTCGTATTTGTATTTAATATTTATTATTTATGGGGAGATGTTTTTTAGTATACGGTGAAATATAACTGCAAAGAATACTTCCTAAAGAACAGAATGCTTCTCGTACCGGCCGCACAGCCACATCCCATTGTATATTAGAAACATCTCCTCATAAATAATCTCGGATGTATGGTCAGGACCAAGATTCAAAGTATTGATACGTATTAATCCATATCAGCAGATATATATCATATTAATAGCTTTCTGATAAGCTTCCTACGCCCATGAAATTATGACTTTGGATGAATTTGTATGGTCCCATCTTATCTCACTTCATCCAATCCAAAGTGGGCCAGAGTTCTGATTAACTCCCCATAGAACGTGCCCTACAGTTCATCTCATCGTGCATTGGGAACATCTCTCATGCATGCCATGGGGAGATGTTCCTAATTCATAGGAGAGATGGGCTGTGGGGGGCCTGTGGGGGACAGGAATACATCAAAGGCTGTGATTCACTGTTTTAGACCTGGGCTACTCCAACGGGCCTAGCCCTATCTTTGTTATTCTCTCATGCAGATAAAGGTCCCACCTTATCTCACTTCATCGAATCCAACGTGGGCCAGAGTTCTGATGAACTCCTGTTCATCCCATCGTGCATTGGAAACATCTCTCATATATGTCATGGGGAGATATTCCTAATTCATGGGAGGGATGAACTGTGGGGCGCCTGTAAGGGACAGGAATACATCGAGGGCCGTAATTTACTGTTATAGCCCTGGGCTACTCCAACGGGTGTAGCCCCATCTTTGTTATTCTCTCATGCAGATAAAGGTGGGTGAAGGTGGTTCATTTTTTTATTGTTGCCAAAAGGAAAAAAAAAAAAAAAAAATCTTTTTGATTGTTGTGCAGGGTGGTTTGATCTCAGAAAATCTGATGGCTGGGGGATAGTGGTGGGTTGATACCTTTTTGATAAGTGGGTATGTTCGAATTTCGAACCATGAATTGGGTGTGTGTGATCTGATGGGTCTGGTGGTTTCAAGAACTGAGGGAGGTTATTAATGAATTGGACTCTTACATTAATTGAACCCAGACAAGTTGGATGCTAAGCAGCCCTCCACTGTATCCTTCTTTGTTGTTTTCTTTCTTTGCTCTCTGCTGCCTCTGAAAGGTTTCATAGATCAGTTCTCTCTGTTATTTGTCTGCTCATCATCTGTGGCATTATCACCCCATCTTGTCTGTTCTAGATTACCCATTCAGCTGATCAAGGTCTGCTCTATATATTCTATATACTTGAGGAAGTTTCAAAGCAATAAGCCAGGCAGATTTCGGTGTTGCTTGATTTCACAGAGAACTGAAGTGAAGTGACAAAGAAAAGGCTGAAAATATGGAGAATTGCACAAACAAACCAAAGATGCCCATTTGCATTTTCTTCAAGGATGCAAGGTAAAGTTACTTTTGCTTGAAAATCTAGCTGAGCTGCTAGGTGTTTGAGATAATGAGTGAGTCAGTGGAGACTGCACTACCCACTGTGCTTTTATTATTTTAATAAGGAGGCCTAGCAATTAGTACACCCGGGATCTGCTACTCACAAGTTATTCCCACAGAGTATTGGGACATTTCTCCATGAATGACAAAGGAAATATTCTCACTGTAGGAGAGATGTGAGAACAGTTTGTGGGTAGCAGATCCGAGCCCCGATTAGAATTAACTTGCAATAGCTAATTTATTATCAATGGCATGCAGGCTTGTGTTCAAGAAGGATGAGCTTGGCATGGAGATAGCACGGATTGCAATCCCTGCAGCATTGGCTTTGGCTGCCGACCCTATTGCTTCTCTTATTGATACTGTATTCATTGGCCGTTTGGGTATTATGTCTATACATACATACATATATCTTTTCATTTCAATTTTATGTCTTTCTGCTGACTTCTGCTTCCAATTTTAATTTCATCAAACAGTTGCACCATCACCCATAAAAAATCAACAAAATTAGAGCCCGTTTGGGAGGGCTTCTGTGTTAGAGGTGAATTGTGTTGATTCAGCTGTGGTTGAGCACCCATGTTTTTGTTTCGGAGAAGCTACCTGGAGTAGCTTCCTATTTTAGTCGCATTTAACGTGTCTAGAACATAGTGATTGGCTTTCCAGGTTTTCACCAAACAGAACTTATGGCATTCTGGTGTGTGTGGCCCAGATTTTCACAAATTTCTGGGTTTGGGCCTAGATTTTGTATCCAGTGTAAACCCAAACGTGGACTTGCACCAGGACCAGGGAATTTGCTGGTTAAATTCGGTCCAATACTTGATGGCCCAGTCTGCAGCGGGAACACACATACATGTTTCAATGGTTTGTAACTTGTAAGCCTGCAGCAAGCACAACCCGACCTAGCTGGAGCCCTGTCGGGCTTGGACCTATATTTCATGCCTGAGGGGCAGGCCAGGCCCAAGCCCGAACTATGTCTCTTAAGTCTTAACATAGGTGCTACCTAGGGCTGCAAATTGATCAAATTGGATTCGATAAAGAGTATAAGAATCCATCGAATTTTCAAAATTATGACTCAAATGCAAATTTGAATATTTTATTAGGTATTCAATTAGATACAATTAAAAAACTTAATGATATAATATAAATAATATACTATATATAATTATATAAAATATATCATATATAATATTTTATAATTATTGGATCAAAGATATATTCGAATTTGATCTCTTAATTAAATGAACCGATTCTTCCAATTCGACCCAATTTCATAGGATGAAGGGTGATATCCAAATCTGGCTCAAACTGAATGAGTTTCGAATTGAATCTGATACAACTTATTTACAGCCTTAGTGCCATCATGCGGAGCCCAATCTAGGTGAGTCCACATCACCTGCCAGCAAAATACGTTCCAACCCCCTACCAATATAATTTGACATTGCATATACCATACTGGCAGATCCCACTTTTATGGTAGGTCTTAATTTTATGGTGAGATGTCTGGTGCCATTAAAGATGTAAATCGGGCTGTGCCGCCTGCGGCCTAGACTGGCATGATGGTTTATGGGTCATGCCAGCACATGAGCCCCATATATATAGTATATTAATAAAATAAATAATTATTTTCAATTTTATTATACTATTTTATTTAATTATTGTATATATAAATAATTGTATACATCAAAATTCATATAAAATAAAAATTTTAATTTTTTTATTTTTTTAAATAAATAACTTTCATCCGATTCACGGTCTGATCTGACCTAAGCTTAGCCCACAAAAAGGGAGGCACAACCAATTTTACAGTTCTAGTTGCTGAGTCATGTTAGTAGGGAGTTGGAATAGGATCATGTTAATAGTTAGTTGGAATGTTTTATTGGGAAGAGATCCCAATTCGATCTAGGCCCATCCCATGATCATTGGACATGGGTACGTCTGTTTAATTGAAGTATTAACCACAAAAAATTGAAATATTACAGTTTTTCTTAATAAATACGTCTCAGAAACATTTAACAAACCCATTTGGAAACTTGGAATAGAAGAGAGCAATATATCTTATGAATATGATCCTATCACAGCATCGAGGCTCTGTTTTGGCCCATTTAGTAGTGGAACTGGAAAGTGGAAACTTGTCACATGAATTCCTTTTTGGAAAGCTATCCATCGTTAAGCTGTAACACTCTTTCTGTTTTGGCCTTTAAATTACAGGTACAGTGCAGATCGCTGCTGTCGGGGTTTCAATTGCTTTGTTTAACCAGGTATCAAAGATTACAATATATCCAGTTGTCAACATCACTACTTCTTTTGTCGCGGAAGAAGATGCTATCAAAACAGTGGCAATTGATGAAGACGAAAGTAAAGATTTGGAAAAGGGTCTTTCTAAATGCTGCCAATTGAGCATTACACCTTCTGAAAGTACATCGAACACTGAAGAACAGGAAGAGGGCTTTGAAACCTCAACTGAAGATAGTCACTTGAGCAATGAAGATACTGGTGGAGCAGTGAACTCTGAAGAAAAAAGTGAGAACTTGGACAAGGATTTACCCATCAACAGCCATACAAAAGATGTGCAGTTTGGTAAGTTGATTTTCTGTTTATTGTTTGAAGGGCTAGTGGGAAACAAGACTTCAGCCTGTAGATTGCTCCATTCACTTTATTTAAGAGTTTTATATTCCGACACACTTGAAATTGTCAATTTATATGTACCATCCTGAGTAATTCGATCACCAAGTAACTCAAGTTTTCTAAATTCTCTACAATCAGATTCTGATACAAGTGGGTACAACCCACCATCCATTACTGGAGGAAGTTCAACTATGCTCAAATGTGCGGGCAAGAGAAAGAATATTGCATCAGCATCCACGGCATTGATTGTTGGCGGGGTGCTTGGCCTTTTCCAAACCATATTCCTTATTCTTACAGCAAAGCCACTATTGAAATTCATGGGTGTTCACTCTGTAAGTGTCTTTATTTGGAATGACAGAGAGTCTAATTTATAACTTATCTTCATCTTTTGTGCATTCAAGAATTAAGATTATATATTTTTTGCTCCTCATTTTGGTCTAATATGATTAGTACTCAAATAAGTATAACTTTCACCATGGCCATTTCAATTTTATTGCTGGAGTGGTGGATATCAGTATAACAGTATACTACCTTATCCTGAGAATCCCTTCAACCAGGATAGCATTAGGAAATGCCCCATCCGTGATTCCTACCAAACAATCCAGTTTTTCTGATTGTCCAACTAATTCCAGCTAGAGTTTTGTAGTTGTAGCTTTCTTGGTTTGGGGAGAATTTATACAGGCTAGAGCATTAATGCCAGCTATGAACCCAGTAATATCCCCAGCAACCTAAGATGTCAGTTCTGTTTTCAACCCTAAAGCAACTCCAGCATTCATCATACTCTGATCTTCATTGTTGATTATTATCATTAACTTTCCTCTGTCATGTGCAATATTGGAACACAATTAATACTTAAAATCATTTTGTAACTGTTTGCAAGTGTTCCAAATTTGGAAGGTAAAGCATCTGATTTCTTATATTTCTGTAATTGTAGAATTGTCTAAACCAAAGCATTATCTGGTGATTTTTTTTACTAGAAAACAACCTAGCTCCTATTTTGGCATGGTTGTTAAATATCTGAGTTATTGCAAAATGCTAAATAACATCTGGGACATCTGTTATAATAGGACTCCCCTATGCTAAAGCCAGCAAGACAGTACTTGACATTGAGATCGCTTGGTGCTCCAGCGGTTCTTCTCTCTTTGGCCATGCAAGGAGTCTTCCGTGGAATTAAAGATACAAAAACTCCTCTATATGCAACTGGTGAAAATCCTTTATACTCATTTTGTTTCTTTCATTTTAATTCTAAAAAGTAATTACATGCAAGTTTGCCCGTTCATATGAAGTTGCATGATAGCATGCCTCTGTGTGTGGACTCATAATATTTCAAGACAAAACAAGTTTTAATGTTACTTTTTACTCTTTCAGCTTTCTTAGGTGGGTTTCAAGTGTATTGCATCTAACCATAGCTCATATTGTTTTTATTATCCAATTCAGTGGCAGGAGATGTTGCAAATATAATTTTAGACCCATTATTTATATTTGTTCTTCATATGGGCGTCAGTGGTGCAGCTATTGCCCATGTTATTTCACAGTAAGTTGTATCTGAGTACCAATTGAAATTATCAGTGTTTCCTAATTAATAGATATGTGATATCTTATACTTAGCCACTGATTTGATATCCTAGAATTTACAAGTATTTTGATTGGTGTCTCATATAATGTATTGTGACCTTTTAGGTACCTGATTTCAGTGATACTATTATGGAGATTACTGCAAAAAGTTGACCTATTGCCTCCAAGTGCAAAAGACCTGCAATTTTGGAGGTTCCTTAAAAGTGGTAATGGGTTCAATCTGTGCATTTCTTTTTTGAAATGCCAACTATAATACAATCTAGAATTTTATTTTTCCTTGTCATGACAAAGGGCAACCCAGTACATGAGGCACCCACCAATGTGGGGTCTGGGGAGGGACAGATGTACGCAGCCTCCCTGCATATACAGAGAGGCTGTTTCCAAGTTCTCCTTGTCATGAGAGGAAACCCAAATTTTGAGTTGTTATTAGGTGGAAAAGGAGACAATTTCCTTAATTTTATTTGCATTTTGTTGAGAAGAGTGGGAATTCTTTAGATGAACAGTACCTGCAGCTGATTTTTCAACTGAAACTCTTAATTGGATGTAACTTCTGAACTGAAGATGTGCATAGTTGGATAGTTGGACGGATGGACCTATGTAATTCTTTCCAACATTAATTGGGAAGCTCAAAATCTTTAAGAAGTTTGACAAATTAAGTAAATTTTATAGAAAATAAGAAAAAACTGAGACACCATAAGCATAGTATTTCAGTTCTGACAATCTATAGTTTAGGAAACAAGCTTGTAAATTTACTAAATAACTACCTCATAACCCTGCATATATGAGAAAAAGTAACTGAGTTGAGAAATGTTTTGCACTTGAACTCAATTTTGAGTAAATATCCACATTGCCCAACTGTCTATTGACAATGAATTGTTATTTACTAGAAGCACTAACTTCATGCATCAGAAAAGTAGCAAAAAGTAATCAGATGTTCTTGGGTCGAATACCCCAAGGGGGGATTTGTAATTGAGACTATATAGGTGGTTAACCATGGCTAACCACATTAAAAGAAGTCAGTGTTGCACAGGTTTGTACAAATTTTCACATTATCAATAAAATTTAAATAGATACTCATAAAAGAAAAAAACATTGAATTTCATGCATCGGATTCAGAAGACCCACACAAGCTGAAGATAAATGCCCTACTGTCTAGTAATAGATGAGTGTCCCACTAAATTCAATTCAATCCATCTCAAATAAGCTTCACCCTAAGAATCCATCTTTGCCAAATGCAAGGCCATATTCAGTCTCTTGCAAAGCTTGTGCATTTACAACAAGAGTAAATACTCATAAGCTACATGAATGTGCAGTCACTTATTAACTAATTCCCATGGATTTGTTCAACAAATCTTTTTATGCCAAAGTGACCAACTTTTACTTCCTTTCACCATACCCTCTTCCCAGGACAGGTTCAGCCTTGAATTCTGTTTCGGTAAAATGACGTGGTCTCCCCTTTAGGTATGGTGACAAATCCAAGAATATGCACCTCATAAGAGCCTTTTGGGAAATGAGAATAGCTTTAAGCCTTTTTCCCCTCTTCCAGAGTACTAAGAGTGAATAAAACCATGAAAATGAGAAAGCATACACACACAATACAAGGTTTAATGTAGTCGATCATAACCCTAATGGGCCCCTGTTACAGTCCTAGATTCTCCTTCTAGTTTCTAATTCGACCCAGAATATCCCTATACAAAGATGGACATTTTTTGCCTTTGCCTAACCAAACCCCCTTTGTCTCCCCAAGAGTACACAATTCACCCTTAAAAGTTAATATACAAAAAATCTATGTAACACATCCCTTGGATTCCTTTCCTTCCATGACCTTATCAATCTGATAAGCCAAGAAGAAAGCAAATTGGTGATATTGAGGAATGGAAATTCACTTGGGGGTGGTAAAAAATTATGCATGTGTAGGAGTATACCATGACTGAAGATGCCAGGACTTATTTTATTTCATTATGATCTACAATACAAGGGTTTTATCAGATATGGATCACAATAGATGATCAGGTGCAGTTTAAGAGTCGAAGCTGTTAAGATTTGAGAAGTATTATCCTAAAACAACTTAGTGAGGTTGAAATCATACAAATTAACAATCTTCCTATGACAAAATTAACTATGACAACTAACCAACCAAGGAACAGCATCTCAGGACTATGTATCTTCTATGAATCAACCCAAATGCCTAATTCATGAAGAATCTTTAGCATTAAGGTGAAGCTAAGTAGTAACAGATAGAGATGACGTGTACACACATTATTAATGAACTGGGCATATAATGGCCAAATTTCCTGAAGATAGCCTCTATCATTATTGATCCTATTCTATGAACATCATACAAACCTTATGATGTTTAAATTGCTAAGTAACTAGATGTATTTTTATGCACCTTCTTGTTGGTCTTACTGCTACTGAGCCAAGATGACTATCCCTTTATTTCTTTTCTTTTTTTTTTTTTGTCTTTCTTGTGCAAGATTATTATTTTAGTTTCATGTGCTTTCCAAGTTTTTAACCCATGTACCAATATATGCTTGAAATGCTTTAGTAGTTTCTGACTTATATTTAATAATTTATGCATCTGGATTCAGGTGGTCTATTGCTAGTAAGGGTAATATCTGTAACATTTTGTGTTACCCTGGCTGCATCACTAGCTGCACGTCATGGATCAACACCCATGGCTGCATTCCAGGTCTGTCTGCAGATTTGGTTGGCCACATCTCTTCTTGCTGATGGATTGGCAGTTGGTGGACAGGTAAGAAGTGCACCATTCTGACTGGGTACAATTATGATGTGGTCAGAGTTCAACATAAGAATCTCATGAACCTGAAAGCAATCAATTAGAAATAGTTCAATCTTACTATAAACTTATTTAGATACATATATAAAATTACTTTTATTTTTTCCAGTTCTTATCCATATTATACAACTATGGTTTCAGGCAATACTTGCAAGTTCAATTGCTAGAAAGGATTACAACAAGGCAACAGCCACTACAGCCCGGGTGTTGCAGGTATTTTGCTTTTAGACAAAATCATATTTAGCAACTTTTGCAATGCTACAAACCACGCTAAATTTTGTTATTGGATCTATTTTGCAGCTGAGTTTAGTTCTAGGATTGGTGCTTCTTTCTGGTATTGGAATTGGCATGCCATTTGCAGCAAGACTGTTTACAAAGGACATAAGCGTTCTTCACCTCATAATTATAGGCACCCCGGTATCTCTTTCTTATGTTTATAAACAATGAAGAGAATATTACTATTTTACTATATAGTGTTACTATGCCACTCAAAATGATACTAGAACTAAAGTATCCCTTCATCCATCAGTTTGTTGCAGCTACTCAACCCATTAATGTATTAGCATTTGTTTTTGATGGCATCAACTTTGGAGTATCAGATTTTGCATATTCTGCTTACTCGATGGTCAGTTAGTTGGGTTTGAACTTTAAGAATCAGTAGGATTGCTTTACCCATATGTCATTCTTATGTTTTGAGTAAATGTTTTCTTTTCCCTTCTTCAGGTAGTGGTGGCTATATTAAGTATCCTGTGCTTATTTTTTCTATCTTCAAGTCATGGTTTTATTGGAATCTGGGTTGGTTTGACCATCTACATAACTCTGAGAGCACTTGCTGGAGTTTTGAGGTAATTTCCCTCGTGCATATATTATAAACAATTCACTGTAAGGAAAAGGAAAGTTATAATCGTGTATTGGTTCTTGTTTACCTCATAATGAGGTTTTCAAATTTATAACTTAATTGCAGTATAGATGTGTCTTAGACCCCATAACTTGCTGTGTGTCCCATGTTTTCTAGGATCAAGAGATTCAGAATCCATTATTAGATGGTTCCATTTAAAACACATCCCTATCTAAGGTCAACATAATACACACCATCTGATTTCACCATTTTTTACAGGACTCACTTTTTCCCACCACTTAGATAATTAGATAATTAATTCTTCTGTCTATGCCTATTTTATGTCACAAATAATCTACCAAGAAGGGCCATAAGACTCATCTTGTGGTGGTTCTTGATCTCTAGTATTATTGTGTCTTCAAGCCCAAGAGTTGTCCACAGAAACAATTAACTCGGATCTCAATAACGACCTTACAAGAAGTGACATTTGATGGCACCGGAAGATTAGCGTCTATTTAGGTAGGAACCAAGTTGTCCTATGCTAAAAGGCATAATCTACATAGTTTTTATAGTGTGATTTTCATTTGCACTGGCATAAAAGCAAGGGAGTGCAAACTGGCTGAGTGTAAATCCTGGTTTAGCTTTGCTTCAGATTTGCCTGCCTTATTTGTTTGTCAAAAATAGAATGGTAAGTAAAATGATGCAGTCCTGTACGTTATTTTAGAGAGAACGGAGGAAGGTTATTTCTTAGGAAGATTAGCTAAGGTAGGAAGCAAACTGATGTGGTCCCCACAGTATAACAGAGATAATTAAGGTAGAAGGAAGGTGGTGCAAATTTTGCATTAGTTTTATGGATGTAAAATTTGCACAGCCAATGAGTGCGGATGAGACAAAAGGTGCAAATTTTGCATTAGGTAGGAGTAAAAATGATATTTACAAACACATGTATGCAAAACTGAACCAAAAATCTTATCTGGTTCAGATTTACACTGCAAGCAGAGTCATAAAAGTGTTTCTTGAACTTGGAAATTTTAGAAATCATGAACTAGAGGTTTAAATTAGTGAGTAAATTTCAGAAAAATTCCCATATAAACCCAGGACTTACACTTGTTTTGTCCTACATTTGCAGGATAGGGACTGGAACTGGACCTTGGCACTTTCTAAGGCGTTGATTTTTGCCCTACTATATGGTTGTGATATATCCTTCTTGGCTTAGCATGAAGAAAAAGCAAGAAAGAAAAGAAAGAAACATGATTTTGCTTTGTAAGGGTACAGTTTGCTTGATTCCTTGTTTTTTTATGGAAATTGGTGCTCTCCTCTCCTGATGTTGGCATCAAGTTTGGCATATGAAATTCAGTGTTGCTTGGATTATTCGAAATCAGCAAACTGTATGCGATGGGCATGCTGAGAAGGAAATTGACACTCCATGGATTCAGAGCCACACCTTTTGAATATCTTTTCTTTGTAATTTGTCTGTATCTGTTTGGCATAAGTGACATCTATAATGTATTGTTGTATATTATTATCTTTCCTACATAGAGATTCTATATATCCATTTCTGTACATGGAACTGGTATTGGAATTAGGCCAGATATATCGCTGAGTCCTCCCAGACTCCAATCCCAGCAGATTCCAAGTTTCCAAATTTGAGTTCTTTGGACCCTTCAACAGCTGGTCTGATGGACTACGCAGTCAAATTTCCAACCAATGTTAAGACCACATGACAGATCTTTCCCCTTTAACCATCAAATATGGTTCTATTTTCACCTGGATTTTGGCACCTCATTAAGGAAGAGGATGTCCAAAGCCAACGAACAGGTCCACCATTGGATACTTCATTAATTAATACGGAAGAACTACAGTGTAGAGCTATAAAGATGCCCTGTGCCTGATTTAGGTCAGGTTGGTGGTTGGCTTAGTACTTGGGTTTGAGAGCTTTGAGCTGATCTCAAGCCTGGAACAAAGTGCCAGACCAAGAGAAGTTTGGAAGTGGGTTTGGCCCTTAGGATAGACTGGTAAATAATGGGTTCTAGTTTTCTAGTTGAGCCTCTCATTAAACGACCTGGGAATCTTCCAAGGAATGTTTTAAAAACCGACCCAGAGGCCGAACCCTTTTTACCTCTGGGTTGTGGGTCACCGGTTCGACCGGCTAGGTCAAACGATTCATACCGTGCCACGTCATATATATATATATATATATAATTTATGTTTTTTAATTCTTTTTATTTATAAAAAATATTAAAAATTATAATTTGAGGCCAAAAAAGGGTTTTTTTTGTTGCGAAAATAGCGGGGCAATGTGCCTATGGCTCATTGGAATGTATAGATCTCAAAAAAAAATCATCCCAATCGTATATTGGAGTGCAAAGTTATGGCCTCCATTGAGTGTGCAACACTCGATGTTTGCATACATTGAGTGTGCAACCTGCGACTCGATGACCGGGTCGAATGGGTCAGTGGTCAAATTGGCCGGGTCAAACAGTTCTTGACCAAATCAATGGTCTTTTACCATTTGACGGATCTTGTATGTTATGGATAACTCTCATTTGTAACTGAAATGGTGAAAGCACTAATAAATTCTTAGCTTCTCTCCCAACTAAAGGGCACATTAACCCTAATCCTTATTCAATAACTAACCCATAATGACAAGGTAGATCTATCTACCAGTCTTGTGTTGTGTAAGTATAACTTTCATTTTGTTCTTTTCTTTCCAACCAACTAAACAAACTTTAGGGAAGAGCATTAACACCATGTAAGATTTGGTAGGGAAATGATCAATTCTATGTGTGCTTTGTCTAGAGTTGGAGTGACAACACAATGCTAACAACCATTTCAATTTCAAAGGTAGTAACGATATGACGAAAACCAATTTGATGTGCCACCATAAATAGGACAGATATACACTAAAAAGGAACAGCATAAGAAAAGAGAGAATGAGGAAGGTTGTTTGTAGCATTATATGATTATACTACCAAACCATGACTCATTGACACCTTAACAACCAATATCATAAACCCAACAATCCAACCCTAACCAGTTCTACATCCATACGTTTTGGCCACCAAAACCCTAAAAATAACTGCAGTTCTAAATGCTTGTTGGGCTAGGAAATGGCTCTTGGGGGAGGCCAGAAGATCTGGTCATGGGCTGGTCCCAACTACCACACTAAGAAAAAAGTATGAGGAAAAGTAATAAAATGACTTCCACTGTTCAAGTTCCATGGGAAAGAATAGGGAAAATTCCCGATTAGTACCTTGTACTTTGGGTCTAATGCCACTTTGGTCCCCTAAACTTTAAAATGCGACAATTCAGTACCCGAATTGACAATCCAGTACCTACTGTTAATTTACTGTTAATTAGCCGTTAAGAGGCATTTGAAAAAGACACAAGTGCCCTTCAAATGTCATCTAATTTTCTTTATCAACTAGCCAAATATTGACAAAAAATTAACAGTCCCAAATCCTTGCTTATTCTATTCAAGAAAGTTGGGGTCACCAGAATGCTCACTCAAATGCGACCCCAACTTTCTTGAATGGAAGAAGCAAGGATTTCGGACTGTTAATTTTTTGTCAATATTTGACTGGTTGATAAAGAAAATTAGATGACATTTGAAGGGCATTTGTGTCTTTTTCAAATGCCTCTTAACGGCTAGTTAACAGTAAATTAATGGTAGGTACTGGATTGTCACTTTTTGAAAGTTCGGGTACTGAATTGTCGCATTTTAAAGTTTGGGGACCAAAGTGGCAATAAGCCCAAAGTACAAAGTACTAATTGGGAATTTTTCCAAAAAAATATTCAAATGATACCAGTGTAGCTATTTTGCCCTAACCACAGTTAGGGTAAATTGGGAATGATGAGCCTACTCTCTCTCCTCTCTCTCTCTCTCTCAACAAATATTTTGCTATAAAAGGTGCAGATGTGAAAATTTCAGACCCCTTCTTGAGTCCGACTTCAGTGGCGCAAAGAAACAAACAGTGCAGTTGCAGAAAGGCAGTAGGTTAAAACCATAGGAGAGCATCAATAGTTTAGAGTCTTAGACCAAAGAAACTGTAAATTTGTGTGGCACTGGAGACACCCATATCCTCCAAATGCATTGTCTTTTCAATTCCCCTATCGCCCATCATGAAATCAACAGGATCAGATGGTTGAGTGCCTTGTGCAAATGAAATTCTCCGCACAATTCCTCTGATAACATTCCTCCTTTAACAAGCATATTTCTTGGAGGAAGAGGAGGACTATTTCAGTGGCCTAAAAGGCCAATAATAATGTATATTTAAACAGAAAGTAATTCTGACCTCAAATTCTTGACGCAAGGAGGTGTTGCTTCCAATTTAGAGGAAGTTTGGGCAATATGAAACTTGACCAAAGTCATGGGTTTCTAAGGAAGCATCACCATCATCTAAGAATTATTGCCTTCAATAATAATGTTGAATAATTCAGAACTGTTTTGGTAGGGTTAGGTTTCCATCCAGTTCCATCCGGTGCAATATCCTTTTGGAAGGTTTTGTCAAATGAGATAACCTCCATTTTCAAATCTGAATCTGGGTCTCTCAAGCTTTCTCTGACCATCATCCAGCAAACTTTGTTTTTTTGGTAGAAAATGCAATATCCATCATACATCATCAATTCTTTTTTGAAAAAAAAAAATTAAGGTAATATTATTTCTGAAGAAACACATACAGATGGAGGAGCAAACAAGAATGATTCCCCCGCCTACATCATCAAATATCTGAAAGACAGAATCATACTTTAATCCAATAGAGATAAAGCATCGACCCCCATAAATAGACTGTTTGATTAGGCATCAGTGACCAACCCCACCAAGCCATCCAACTCAAAGAAATGTCCAATGATACAATTATTTGATAAATCGGCACTTAACCCAAAAAATTAAATAAAATAAAGTGAAAGAAGTTATAATCCTATTTGAGCATGGTTTAAAGTATTGATATGCCCAATACTCACAAACAAGCGAATGGGGTGTTTTGCATTTTTTATGCTTTTTTCAAAATTGTTACAAGGGGTCAGTTTTTAAGTATGTCTACTCCTTAGAAGTAGGCCTATTAATAATACTTGAAATTCCGAAGCCCCATTCTACATTTAATCTGATTAGGATGATATATTTAACTATTTATATAATTGGATCAGATTCGAATGTTACAATCAACATTCAATTAATATTCGGATCGAATTCGAATTTGATCCCATCTGATCCGATTAAAATCCAAATCTGATTATATTATAATATTTATTAATTTTAATATATAAATTTTATATAATTATATTTAAAATTATAAAAATATATTCTATATGTTATATTATATATGAATCTATTTATATAATAAATTTAGTATGTTATATTTATTATATAAAATTTGAAAAGAAAAATAAATATATTTTTTATTTTCTAGTATTTTAAAAAATTTATAGAAGAATCAGATTACATCTGAATCTTATCCAAGTCCGTTGGGATTCAAATTTAAATCTAAGTCTTTAAATCCAATCGGATTCAGATGTAGAGTCTCAGTAATCAGATCAGATGCGAATTTTGTTGCATCCGATCTAAGTACAACCCTACCTGAAGTGGCCAAATTCCGAAATACCCCTTATTTGGGGTTTCAGGGAGCCAACGCTAGATATAGAAATTTCTGCAACACAATTCAAACACCCCTTATGAAAATTTTGAACCTTGCATTGGAGAATTAACCACCACAAAATCTAAAATGCATCTTATGAAAATTTTGCAACACAATTCAAACACAAACCAATAATCAATGATAAAGCATCACATCACAGTTACATCCTTAAAATCTTTAATGATAATGTGAAACGTTTTCTAATGAATAGATCTGCTCATGGGTTGGGCTTGGGCCTGACCATACACTGTATGTCTGTATCGGGTTTAAGCATCAGGCTCCGTTTAAATTTTGGCCAATGTGGCAAATGCCAAATCTAAGCCCGACCCATGAATAGGTCTACTAATAAAAAATAATTAGACTAATGTGGTAACTTTGTTTCAAATTTTAATGTAATGCGCTATAAAAAATTGAAAATTCACCATAGTAGATTCTTACATTCAAACCAAACATGTGGGGTGCCCCTGAATTCCACATGTTGGTAAAAATGAGGAAGAGAGGACTACCGACTTCAACAGAGACCCCCACTCCGCCCCACCCCCACTGGTGGGGTAAATGTTGGTAGTGGGGCGTGAAGCTCAAATGGGCATCAAATGAGGTAGCTGGCCACCTAAAAGGCGAAAACCCATCTCCAGGTCAAGGAAAATATCCTCCATGTCTCGTCTTCTCTAAAAGAGTATGGATTGAAAAGAATCTAAATCCAAACAAAAAATCCTTCCACCACTCACCTCCCCAATCCCAGAGGACACAAACCCATCCCAGTGGGATCAACCACAGCACCCATTGATATAATTCTTCCACGAGTAAAAAGCAAAAACCCCCGATAAAACAGAGAGAGAAAGGAGAGAGATATTACACTCAAATTAAGGAAAAAATAAAGGTATTGAAATAATAACAATAGAACTTCAATTCAATGTTACATCAGAAAGGATAATATGCCTTCTTTCCCCTCTGCGACCACTATGGACGCCTTAGTTAATGCCAATTTATACTCCAACGCGACCCCTTCCACACAGACCTGGTCAAAACACTGAAAGCCCTCCAGAACAGGAAATGACAAAAAAAGATAATAAATTAATGAAGCATTTTTGTTTCATTAATTGCCTCCATTAAAAACCCCAACACCCCTTATGTTGTTCAACCCAAGTTACTAAATGCAAAAGATAATAAATTAATGAAGGGAAATAAGTGAAAATAGACATCAAACAGAAGCATTTTTGTTTCATTTCAATGAAACATATAGCTCTTTTAAATAAGATTAAAAAACATGTTAAAATGACAAAAAAAGGGATACCTAAAATCCGAATATTGGGAGAAAAAATTTACCTAATCTGGGTTGGGTCATTGAAATATTTTACCCAGATAGAGGCTTTCTTTTTTCACCCTTTGATTCTGCTTTTAATAAATGGTGAAAATGAATTTTTTTTCTTTTTTCTATTACTCTCCCCCTTCTTCCCCTTGTTCAGTCCCCCTTACCTGACACCCCTCCACCAAACCCAAAAAAAATATTATTTACTAAAATTGATTACTTTTCTCTTTACTACCTCACAGCCTAGTAAAAATTTAATTTTACTAGGCCACGAGTTGATCAAGCTGCATCTGTTCAAGCCAAGCTCCCAAAACAGAGTGATCAATGGCTTCAACCTGAGAATTGGAATTTGAAACCTCAGCGGAGGATGCTGCTGCAGCAACTGAGGTTGGAATGGCTAACTTATCCTTGATCTCGGGTGGTGATTCCTTCACCAATGACTGAACCCACGACAAATCAGGCTCCTCTCCATTGTTTCCTAGCTCGAAAGAAGACGACCTCTTGAACCGCCCCAGCTCATCTCCATTAACCGCCCAATCCAACATCCCATTTGGTGATCCCCACTTGGTCCAGGAATTTACAGGAGATCCCACAACAGCGGTCGTGTTGGATCCAAGTTCTCGTGAACTGAGGCTACGAAGCTGCTGCTGCTGCTGCTTCTCACGCTGAGCAAATGCAGAGAGTCGAGAGCTCATCGGAGAGAGAGGTTCCATGCTTCGAGGTGACATCCTGCCCGGGGATGGAACACCAAAGGATGCTTGTAAGAATGAATGATCAACGTTTTTTGGAGAGAAAACGTTCGTGTTGATCGGCGATAGCATGCTCTGTTGTTGCTGGAACTGGTTGAGAACCGCTGATTTGTGAGATGGGGAAAAGACCGCTGACGCTGCCTGATCTGAATACCGGGGCGACGAGGAGATTTCAGCAGTGAAGAGATCCTCAAGGTTTGAAGGGGTCAGGGTCTTGGAACGAACAGATCTGTTAACAGTGGATGAACTAAGACGTGGCTGAGAGAAGCAGGACAAATCATTCAGGAGTTGCTGTTGCTGGGCTTCAAAATCCTGCAACATGCTGAAGTCCTCAGCTGGAATATCTCTTGCATTGAGGGACGACCTCAGGCGACTGGATTGAAGATTACTTCCAGGGAGATGCAAGGTTGGGACGTTGGGCTGCGGCCAAGCCAAAGATGAATGGTTAATACCATTTGCAGATGGGGACATGGGTGGCGTGAAGGGCGAAGGAGACATAACAGAGACCGAAGAGGGAGAACCAGGCAAGAGGCTCATGGCTGCAGCCATCTCCATGGCGGAGGCCGCTGAAGCAGTTGAACGGGGAGAAGGAACGGCAGAGCCAGTGGAGACATACAAGGGGCGCAGTTCCTCAGATGTGTGAGCAAAGAAACAGACTCGCCGCATGCAACCTGTGCCATCCTTGCACAGCCGTGTCCTGTACTGYGCCGGGTGAAGCCAGCACTCAAAAACGCCATGCGCGTATTCACACAAATCCCCTCGTCGACATGCCCCTTTTCGGAAATCAGGGCAGGGAACGCAGCTGTAGTGGTACTTCCTTGGGTCTCTCCTGCGAGCGTTCTCACCTGGGTGAACGAATGGACACTCGGTCCAGTCATGAGAGTAAGCTCGGGAACAAGGGCGGACCTTAAAGGAGAACATGCGGAACTCATCTGTTGCATAGATGCTGTTCTTGATATCAGGTAGAGATGGATCAATAGGGTATTCCTTTTTCTCCGTTGCCGAAGAAACAGGGTGATCATTGAACTTGATCGTGGGAGATGAAGTCGAGTCTGAGGCAGACGACGGAGATCCATTCTCCGGGGATGATGACAAAGGGGGTGAATTTGAATTCGATGTGCTTGTGGAAACCCGCAGATTGAGCTCTCCAATAGAAGAACCATCAGAACCATTGCTCGCCAGGAGCTCCTCAAGCACAGCCTTCACATTAGGGAGCTTAGGAGATACAACAATAACATCAGCAGGCCGGTGGCCATTGGCATCCACTGAATTTGGGTTTGCACCGGCCAACAAAAGCAGCTTCACAACATCTACAGCGTTTACAGATCCGCCGGAGGCAGCACAGTGGAGAGCAGTGCTCTTATCCGGGCCACAGGAACGATTTATATCAGCATCGGATAGAGCAAGGATTAGCTTCAAGACATCGATACTACCATAAGTTGCAGCAACCATCAAAGGAGTTCTGTGCTCAAGGACTATCTGCTTCGAGCCCTTCTGGCGGACGTACCAAAGACCAATCTCATCGATAGCAGAGGCATCACGCTCCAACGAACGCTTGAAGCCTTCAACGTCATTGTTAGCCGCGAGCTCAAGTAAACTTGAAAAAGAATCTTCGGTTTCTACAGTCAGGTGATTCATGCTTTTCATGGGGGTTTTGCTTTCTTCGGAGGATGAAGGAGAAGACGGCGATGACGAGGTGGACTTTAACCGCTCCGGTCCACCACACATACTTCGATTGCCTGGAAATCCACCTAATAAAAAAGAAATGCAAAAAGTTGCCTTATAATAAATAAAAAAAAAAAACCAGAACTGTTCGAACCAAGAAAGAACGAAATCAATGATAAGTACAGAAAGCGTGATTCAAGAAGAACAAATCGCCGGAAAAATGTGAAGACCGCCTGAAAAAATTACCGAAGTCCTTGGTATGTAAAGTCGGGACATTTATAAAAATAAATTAAGCCGAAATCTCGATTTTAGAAAGAAAATAATTGCAAAAAAAAAAGATTCCAATAAGAACGACTACAAGGAAGGTCTCAATCACGGATAGAAAAAGAGCGTAGGAAATTGACAGAAGATCACGGCGAAGATTTAGGGAATGAATGCAAGATCAAAAAGACTCCTCTCAGAAAATATGGCGAAAAATCGAAACTCTCAAAGACAGCTACCATTTTCCACAGAAATTTTATTTTTTCCGTAAACAGAATATATAACTATTTTTCTCTTACAGATCGCTCACAGAAATCATGAAGAAGAAATGCATATTTATAATACTTTCAAAAAATAAAAACTCTTGAAAACACGAAAACAAGAAACAAAATCCGAACTCCTCAATATTTGCAACCGATTATTCTCATTCTTAGTTTTAGAAACTGAAGACTTCACTAAAAATGTTTAAAATCACAGCAATGTAAACTATCTAATGGACCGTCAAGAAGGTTTAAAAGCACAAAAAGAGGACGAAATGCGCGCCTAACAAACCTTACAACAGAAAGAACACAAAAGTGCAAAACCATTCTCCAAAGTCCAGAGAAAAATCAGCTCAAATTACAATTTTTTAACAAAGAATCACCGACTTCCACCTACTCACCGATTTCCAGATTCTGAAGACACAGACAAGCTAAGCCACGATTAATAACTCCATCAACTTCACAGATCTCTCTATCGATCTACGGATAAACAAACTGTGAACAAAAAAAATAAAAATCTTCACCGATCTGAGAAGTATAAACAGCCGCCAATATCTAATGCGAAGAATGCCTTGGAGACGATAAGACAACAATAAGAAAATCGCGACGCAGGCCCGAAACGAAGCGTTTTGATCACCATTTTTCCAGTTGGGAAAATCGCCGATCCAATCGAGAGAGAGAGAGAGAGAGAGAGAGAGAGAGACTTTGAGACTTCTCTTTGTCTAACGTCTCCAAATTAAAATGAAATGAAACGCTCAAATGCAGATAAATTTGAATAAATTAACTCGGACTCAGCGGGACGAAATACGCATGGAAATTCACCCTAAATTCACTTCACATGACAGTTAAATTTGGGGGATTCAAACGGGTGGTGACCGGTTTTTCCGATCAAAGGTGATGAGAGCGTGGGTGAGGCGTTCACCGGTTAGGTGACCTTTGTTTGGGATGCGTATCGAAAGGGAGCAACCGAGTAACGGAGTAACTCGGTACAGTGACCGGTTCAGCAGGTGGAGGAGCGTGCTTGCTTTGGTGGATTATGATGGATTGGAATCCGGTCTTACGTCCGCGAATCAGAGCCGGGATGGATTGGAGAGTACTAGCGGACTTCAGGGCATTAGTCAAATTTGGTTAAATATGGAGTCAAATCGAGGGGAAAGGCGTGGAGCAGCACCAACGACAAAAAATAAAAAATAAAGAAAAGAAAAAATATATATTTATAAAAAATAGATTAATCAATTTCAAAAATTAAAAAATAAAATAAATAAAGCCACAGCGGCTCAGCCCGTCAGCCGCCCCTCTTGACAACAAAAATAATTTTATTTATTTATTTATTTCGGATTCTCGAAATTTCCAATGGATTTTAATCTCGATTGTCCTGTTTCTTTGCATGCTTAGAATTTTGGACATGGTTAAAATTACGGTATTACCCCTGTAATGGGACAGGAGAATTGAATATATGTGATTGGGATGTTGGTGATGAAAAGACTTCAATGCCCCTTTCCGTATTGCAATCAGCTCTCGACAGGTACCCGCAGTACTTACCAGCAGAAGAGATTCAATCATTCAAACTAGAAGCTCGATCCGGTCCTACCACGGTCCGACCAGGTTAATCTAAACAGTTTAGACCAAACTAGACCCAAAATATTGAGATCACGGATTTCCCTGTTCAAACATGGAAGGTGTGTTTGGCATGGCTTGTCATTTTGTCATTTTCTTTCTATGATTTTGCCGCCACGTTGATGTTTTTCAGAAAATGGCTGAACTGGGTGACACTCTACATGTCCTCAAAATCAGTACAATATTTATGAAAAAAACAATTCTAACAAACCCCAAACTCTATATGCCTTTCATGTATGTATGAATGTTTATGCAACATCATCATCATATAAGCCTTATCCTAACTATAGGGATTCTCATACGTTTAATATGGTCATTATCTTCTATTTAGTGTCATATTTATTTGTAAAATTTTGAGCACTTAAATCATTTCTTACTAGACTAGACAATAAAAACTATTTACGTAGATAGTCAATGTATTTATATAATCGGATTTCATTCAAATTTTGCATTATAAATCTAATTAATAATCAGACTGAATTTAAATTTGATTCCATTCGATCCAATTATATTATAATATTTATTGATTTTAATTAATAAATATTATGTGATTATATTATATATTATAATAAATTCACTATGTTAGATTTACATTAATTTATTACCGATAAAGATCAAAAGTAAACATCTTGATCCTTTCTACAAGTGGGACTCTCGAGCTTAGATGCAAACTCTTAGAATCTGCAAAAGAAACAAGTTAGAGTGCTTGGGTAGGTGTCCCAGGCTATCGACTCAAATGGTTAACTCAATACTAGGGCTGTTCATAACAAGACTCAAATTGATCAAATCGACGAACTCAGACTGATTTAATCTGAGTTGGCCGGTTTTTCTTTAGCACCGATCAGTTTTGGATTACAAAAAAACATAAATCGATAGGTCAATTCGGTTTCGGTTTTCATGTGTGAAAATCAAAATTGAATCGATCCAAACTGACTTAGATATATTATATATATTTAATATATTTCAGTTTTAATATATATTTTTAGAAATATATATATATATTAGTTTTATTTCAAAAATATACATATTATATATAAAATTTTACATATATAAAATATCAATTTTAATCCATCAAATCATTTTTAATTTTCAGGCATCCAACCTTTGCTTTCTTAGACTTGATTCCTTTACCGTTCACATCGAAAGAATCATTCACAAAACCGACTCAAACCAAATAGGTCGGTTTTACTTAGTACTAGGTCAGTTTCGATTTCATTTCTAGGTAAATCGACCAGGTCGGATCGATTGGAAAAACGCTAGTAAACCAACCCACCCAACCCGTGAACAGCCCTAGTCAATACATGTCGAGTTATCCAAGGTTGTAGAAATGCTACAGCAAGATTCAAAATGCAATAGGTGCAAAATGCTTACCTTTATATAGAGCAATGTGGTAAGCCGTAGTGGACATGTATAGGCAGTTGGGATGCTCAAGACCCACTTCTTCACGAAGTAGGGTACCGCGCCACCATGTGGCAATCTGCAATTGTGCATGGCATAGGTCAGTCTTACACTCAAGGTTTAAAGTATCGGATATTGTATCGTATATTTTATAAATGATATGATCCAAAACGCCTGTTTTCAGATGTTTCAGACCCCCTTTTTTTAATAATAAAAAACAGCCTGTAATTTTTCTAAAAAACCAAAATTTGAAAAAAAAATGTATTTCGACCGTTTTTAAATATCGATATAATATGACCAAAACTCGTATCTTATCGATACTTTTAACCTTGCCTACACCATTCACATTGGAGCTGAGCTAGGTCGAGAGCATGTCCTCCACGTCGGAGTTGGCTCGAGGTCGGAAGTATATCTTTTATCTCGGAGATGGCCCATGCCGCAGCCATTCTAGGTCAGCGCTGCCACTAGTGATCCAAGGTGCGATCAAGAGTTGTGCTGCTATATACATCGCGATGTAGTGCAATAAAGCACCTGCACTACCACGTGTCAAGGCACCATTGGAGGGTAATTAACTTTTTAATTCTTTTGTATTTTAAAATTTAAAGCAGAGTCGGATTAAATCAGAATCCAATTCAAATATGTTAGAATTTGAATTCGGATTCGAGATCTTCAAATCCAATCAGATTCATATGCAAAGTTTTCAATAAATGGATAGGATTCAGATTTTGCTGAATCTGAACCAAATGTGATTCATTTATAGCCCTAATTTTGAGACCTCACCTAAAAATTTGAATTTTTCGGATAAACAACTCCTTGAGTGGGTACGAGAGTATGCTTAATCAAATTGTCTAGTGTTTAATTTTCATTGTCCCCATTGTAATTAATTAAATTTCAGCACAAGATGTAGGGGGGCAGTAGCGTCTGGGTTTTTAGTGAAGGGGCATTTTAGAAAATAAATACCTAAGACTTAAATTTCAGTCTTGAGGTCTAGGCTATAGTTGTGCAAGTTAGGCGGGCCAGGTCGAGTTTAAGTTAAACCTAGGCTCAACCCTAAGAATTAGGCGTAAGGCCAAAGCCCAAAGTCAAGCCTGAATTATCCAACTGGGGTCTGGATTGGGCTCGAGTTACTAATTAGCCCCCACTAAAATTTGTGCATATATGTATGGTTTATCAATAAATGCATATATGTATGTATGCATGCAAATATGTGTCTATATATACATATATGTATGTATATAATTGGGCTAGGCTCGGGTTGTGATAAAACCAAGCCAAAACTTGGGCCAGGTTCAAACTACCTAAGGGCTAAGCATGGGTCTAGCCTAAAAAAATAAAAATAAAAATCTAAACTTTTGCTTCTAAACCTAACTTGAGGACCAAAAATATAAATTCAACTTGTACAAAATTATGGGTTGAATCAGTCTATGATTGGGTTGGGCCCGCCCAAGTTGTACCCCTAGTAGAGATGGAAATTTGACCTATCCCCGCATGGCTCCAATTCACCCTACCCTTGATTGGGGTCGATCTTTACTACTAATTGGGTTCGAAGCAGATTTGGAGAAATCCAAAACTTTGGTGACCGAGGAACGAGGTGAGGATGGTATTTGTCCACTCATCAAAATGTGCTAAGCCCAACCAAACCCGGCCCATGATCACCACTACTCTCAAGTCATTATTAATAACTAGTATTATATTATATACAAAAAAGTATAAGCTATCCAAGAAACATGGCTTTATAATCCTCCTAACAAACTGCTAGGGAGCATCATTTTTCTAGATTATGAGAGGGGGGAAGTTGGTCAATGGGATTTTGATTTCTATTGAACAAGATTTGCATGTTCTTTTTTCATATTTATGTGGGGACCAAGGAAAGTTTATTTTCTTGAGTATCATTTATCTGGGTAAGTGATACCCATCTCCTAAGTGGATAAATAATTTTCCCACATGGGGAGAATGTTGGCAATACTTGAATGGAACAAAAATGCTCATTTTAATAATAAATTTTCATGACTAAAATAGTTATTGCCTTATTTACATGGAAAATAAAAGAAATGCAAAGTAACTTACTAAAAAGCGAATGGGCCCTAATGTTAGCATTCAATGTTCAAAAGCATTTTGCAACATTTATAACTTTTGTACAAAATTTTGAAAACACTACCAATCAATGCTATATTTCCATATTAATGAAAATTAATAAGATATTGGACTAACATCTAGCCCTTGTAGTGTTTCTAATAGGAATCTTTTGAGTTCAACATTTTTTTTTTGAGCTCAACAATTAGGACTATGTTTGATTTGAAAGAAAAGGTAGGAAAGCCTTTACAATTCTTGTATAGGTTTTCCTATCTTTTCCTACTTTTTCCTTCGAACCAAACACAGCCTAAATGATAGACAGATTTTGAAAAAAAAAAAAATCCTTTTTCTTTTCTATCTTCACTCTTGACACGTCACAGCTGAACTAGAAGTTCAAGCAGCTGAATCAGCTCATGTATTTCCTGATATGTCAGTATTGGCGTTATTTAAAGAAAATTAAGATATTCATTTACAACAAAAAAATTAAATATTAAATATTAATTGTTATCTTGTAAAGTAAAAGCTCTGGTACACCATGGCAAAATGGATCTATCATGTCAATTCTCCACGTGGCATTTTCCAAAATAGGGAGTAACACAATATCTCCTACTCACAAGAACTCTACCCACAGAACAGCTCAGCCACATATAGGAAACATTTCATCCTCCTATATAATATTATACAGTTATACACTATAAG